CTCACATCCCCGCTCACATCCCCGCTCACATCCCCGCTCCCATCCCCGCTCACATCCCCGCTCACATCCCCGCTCACAGCCCCGCTCACATCCCCGCTCACAGCCCCGCTCACATCCCCGCTCACATCCCCGCTCACATCCCCGCTCACATCCCCGCTCACAGCCAGCTTGGCTTCTGCCTGCACAAACATTTTCATTCCTGTAATTCCTCGCGCAGTTCACAGCCGGTGCCTGTGTCCCCGGCTCACGGGAGGGAGTGATGGGAGCCCTTGGGCTGCTGTTGAAGGAGCTTGTTGCTGCATTCTTGATCTTGGTAACTTCCTTTTGGGCTGGGTACCCAAAATAGCAAGGACTCAAGTGGCACAGAGAGGCTGTGGTTGGTGGCCCCAGCTGTTCTCAGGCTGGTGTTTGACCTCAGCCATTCCACGTTTCCTTTCTGCTGCACTTGGCCCAACCGGCAGAAGGAAAATGTGATTATTGGAGCAGGCAGTGCAATAACCAAGGAAACCAAACAAACATCCTGTGCTCTGCCTGAGCACAGCCCAAACCCTCTGCTCCTCCAGGGGAGGAGGGAACAGAGGGAGCAGCATCCCACCCTGTCTGGCAGGAACAGGGGCAGGGACAAGGACAGCAGGGGAGCTGGCTGCCAGCAGCATGGAGCAGCACAGGAACCACGCAGGAGAAAAGTGGTGAACCTGGTGAGATGTCGTGGAGATCAGTGTCACATCTTCCTGAGAGCTCTTCCAGGGCTTCTCTGCATCCCATTTCTAGGGCATCCTTCAGTGAAATCACATCATCTGCAGGTGCCTGCCCCGGCGGGCTGGGCTGTGCTGGCAGCACCACGTGGGGATGCACCGTGACTCAGGACGACTCACCACAAACTCGATGGAAGAGGCTCTGGTCCTCTTCGGGCTGCTCAGCGTCTTCCTCAATGCCTGGGGCAGCAATCCAGGCTACCTGCAGGGGTCTTTGCCTTGGTGTGTCTGACCAAAGCTCTGGTGCCGAGGCTCGTGCAGGGCCCAGGATAACAGAGCATGGAGCTGTCTCCCTTTAGCAGCTGGCTGTCCCTGGCAGAGCTGTTCTCCCCAGCCCAGCTGTGCTGAATCCATGGCAAACTGCCGCAGTTGAGCGCACCGAGGAGAGCCCATCGGGCTTGGCTGCAGGGAGGCAGGGCTCAGGGCAGAGGCTGTGCTGGCTCTGCGATTCAGGGTGACAGACCAGCTCTCCACGGGACATCTTCCCTAGGGGACTTCAGTGTGGAGGCAAGGACCAGTGTCCAAACCCTTCTGCAGTGCAAATACAAAATAAACCGAAATGCTCCCGGCTGCTGTCCTGAGTGCCATGAATGTGGCTGATCTGGGCTAATTCTCTCCCCGGCACATGACCGATACTCGGAGTAAGTGTCCTTGGGGAGAGTGATGACGGCTGCTGGTGGCAGCATTCCTGTGGGCGCCAGGGTTTCTCTTGAGGGAGAAATTAGCAGGACCTGTTTATGAGCTTGTTTTCGAGCTCTGGTCGGGGAGCTGGACACGAGCACTGAGATCCCATTATGTAAGGAACGCCGGCAGCGGGAGACAGCAGCTGGGGCTGTGCTTGGCCCTGCCTGACCCGTGACCGCGGTGAGAGCCGGGGATGGAGCCTTCCCCCCTCGCAGGGCTCTTCCCGGCCCTGGGGGAGCCAAGAGCCCGGCTGGTGTGGCTGCCCCTCGGCAACCCCCGCCGCCCAAATAAAGGAGCGCGGCGTTCCGTGCCCGGCCCTTGCCCGTGTGCCGGCCGGTCACACTCTGTGCCTGTCAGCCGGGGATTGTCTCACCCGGCTGGCATGTTCCCACCGCGGGACACACACAATGCGGGCCCTGTGCACCGTGGGGGATCTGTCGGTACCTGCTGGTGGCCTGGCTTTTATTACTATTGTCATGGTTATTGCTACAGCCCGCTCAGCCGAGGGGCTGGAGGCTGATCAGCATTCCGAGCCAGGCTCTGCCCCGCTGGCTGAACCTCCCAGCGCGGCTGCGGCGGCTCCGAGCGCCCCGCTGCCTTCAGATCCTTCCGGCTCTCACGGCTTATTCGCCAGCGCAGCATGCACAGGAACCGGGGCCAAACACTGCTGCAGGGTTTGGGCGGGCAGGACAGGGCAGCATCCCCCGCAGGAAGGGCAGGCAGGGATTTCCTTCTCACCCGCTGCTGGGTACACGGCCACAGGGTGGGCTGTGGGCGAGGATGGCCCCCGTGGTCCCTCTGCCCTGCCAGGGCACACCGAGGAGCCACCACCCCTCGCGCTGTGTGCGCTCGTGGGGCCACGCTGTGCTGGGGAAAGGCGTGGGAGGGCTGGCTGAGAGGCAAAGCTCTGTCAGCTCTCCCATCCACACCTTCTCCAAAGTAGGCTTGGGAGAGGAGCAACTCCTGGATGCAGTTTGGATGGGGCAGGGGCCAGACAGAGCTGGAAGGTGCTGGGAGTACCAGCTCAGGCTGTAGTCGGACCCAGCTGCCTTTCCACTGTGAGGGAACGCGCTTTTCATCCCTCATGGCCAGCGGGATCCCGGCACAACCCCCTGTGTGCCGGTAAATGGGAGGGGTGTGTCTGGGTTGGGAGAAGGATTGTTAGTGAAGGCACAAGGCCAAGAGAGGATGGGAATGGCCTTTTCTTGAGGCCACAGCTTTGCAATATCTTGCAGAGATTTCGAGGGATTTAAAGAAGGTCCCGAAAAATAATATGGGCTGTGGAAAGGAGCAGCAGGTCCTGGGGAGCAGAGTTTAAGTGGGAGGTTGCTCCAAGCATGGGTCAGTTCTCTGATGAAGGAAAGGACTGAAGTAAGCTGTCTTTTGCCCTTCTCCCTGAGCCTTCCTGGAACCCAAACCCCTGACTCTGCTCCTCCAGAGATGCCCAGTATGCCCCACTGCCCCCAGCTTGCCAGAATGCACTTTACCCCCGGCCCCCACCCCCCTGCTCTGCATGGAGATGGGTGGGGGGCGATGCAGCTCCTCAGCTGCCTCGGCATCTTCTGCAGGGCTGTGCAGAGATGGCAAGCCTTTCCCTGTCACCTTGCCCCACCACAACCCCTGCAGAGCAAGGGTAACTCCCAAGGGCTTTCAGATCCTTCAGCCTTGGGAGAAGCGGCTGGTGAGGAGATCTGGGAACGCCCCGGGGAATCAAGCAGGGTCAGGCTGTGCAGAGATGGGATGCTCAGACGGCGGCTGCCTCAGCGTTAATGCCCTGCACAGCTCTCCATCGGCACGTCTGACCTCGTGTTGCAGCACAGCAAAAAATAACCGTGGTCCTGATGAGAGGAAATGCACCAGGCGAGTGCGAGGGAGGCAGTGGTTTTGGCAGGGCTACTTGCTGGGAAAAGCAGGGAGGGGGGAGAATGGAGAGAGAGGACATGGCACCTCGTAACCCCTGTGTGCGCCGTGCTTTCATCGCCTGCACTCCTCCGAGCGATCTCCAAATCCCCTGCGTCTCAGCACTAAAAATATCCTTCCCTGCCGCCCGGAGCTCTTCCCCGGCAGAGGCTGTGTCATAAGACCCTGCTATTTGCGGGGCCCTGCTTCCTTTCACGCGAGGAGAAGCATGAGAACGGGGCAGCGCGGTGCCCGAGGCACATCGGGCACCACCCGGGCACGGTACCTGGCAGGCTGCTCCTCTACAAGCCCCGGTCCCCCGTCTGCCGCTCGCCACGGAGTTTGCTCTGCTCAGCATCCTCAGCCCTGCGGGTACGGGGGGATCCGGAGCCACGGGGCTCTGAGCGCTGCCGGTGCCACTCCGAAACAAGCCCGTGACCCAACAGGTTCCCGAGCTCTGCCACATCCCAAGCGGGTGTCCCTCAAATCGCGCCGCTCCCCGAGCATCCCCGTCCCAGGCACGGAGCTCCCCGGCAGCCCCTGCCCTGGAGCAGTCGGTGCAGCGAGGGGCCGGGGGGCGGCCGGGGCTGG